TGGGATTGCTGGGGCGTGTGTTTCGCTTCTGGTTTGGACTGACTGAATGTGGAAAGAAGAGGGAGGAAGAAGAGAGGAAGAGAGAAGAGGAGGAGGAGCAAAAAAGGGAGGCGAGGGAGAGGAGGCGGACTCTGAAGAGGCAATTAAGGGAAGCACTGGAGAATGCTCCTCTCAGGAAGAGTCGTCGCTTACGTCTGAAGAGCCAGAGAGCTGCAGACGCGGGGCCATCTCGAAGGGCTCGCAACAAAACAAAAATCTCTGTGCCCCTGACTCTCATCCGCAGGCCACGGACTCAAAGTCCTGTCACCTCTATCCCCAACAAACCTGGAGGGACGAAAAAGGTCCAACAAACTCCCAAACCCCGGAGTTGTTCTTCTACCAAAAAATCTAAGCCCAAAACGCCCTCAGTAACCCCCCATACTGCTCAGATCCCTGTGCGACACAAGCAGAGTATGAAACACGGTGGCTCACCCTTTAAACGGCGTCCCACAGTCACTCCTGGAGTGACAGGCCTGAGGAATTTAGGCAACACCTGTTATATGAACTCCATTCTGCAGGTGCTGAGCCACCTGCATGTCTTCAGGGAGTGCTTTCTTCGCCTGGACCTCACCCAGGCACTGGAGCTACTGGCTTCTGCTGTCCATGGCCAACTAGCAGGGAAGGCCTCGTCCCAGTCCCCCCTGTTCCAGAGGAGGGGTCTCCAGACCAGTGCAGGCTCTGGGATAGGGCTAAGTGGTGGGGCCTCGCGGGCCCGCAGCATGGAGCTGATACAACCCAAAGAGCCCAGCTCAAAGCACATCTCTCTCTGCCACGAACTGCACACTTTGTTCCAGGTTATGTGGTCTGGTAAGTGGGCGTTGGTATCACCTTTTGCTATGCTCCACTCGGTGTGGCAGCTGATCCCAGCATTCAGGGGCTATGCTCAGCAGGATGCTCAGGAGTTCCTTTGTGAGCTGCTGGACAAGGTGCAGCACGAGCTGGAGAGCACCGGCAAGCACACAAGCACTGCAGGGGTCCCACAGACACAGAGGCGACTCATCAAGCAGGTGCTCAGTGTGGTCAACACCATTTTTCATGGCCAGCTGCTCAGCCAGGTATGAGACACACACCTGTAATCACCTTTACTTAACAACCACTGTATGACTCAGTGTAACACAAAAATAATAATTAACCTTGTGATGAAACAAAGTTGCAAATTACAGTAAGTGGAATCATTGGCTCTGCTACACAAGCGCATACTCAGACCTGCCCACAAACTAGTTGCATTACTTCAGCAGCTGTGGCTCAACTGGACATGAATCAGGTTGAATTAGTGTTGATGGGGGTTCACTTGAAATTCTTACGTGGACGTTCATCTTGCAGCACTGACATGACACTGACAACTATTACACTTTCAGTTTGAGTCAATCTTAGAAGATTTGGAAGCTGAACTTCCAACACTGATGTGAGTGTTACATTTTGAGTATATTTCATGGGTTTACTTGCTGACTATTATTCAAGTACAAATGCTGTTAATTATCTTAATCTGTTGCACCTGTTTCTCAGCTCTAGAAGCATGGTCTCAAATTGAAGGCGTAATAGTACCACCTCTTTTTTTCTCAATAAGTAACGTGACTCATTTCAAATAAGAATGATTATATTGGGGCGGCTGTGGCTCAGGAGGTAGAGCAGATCAACCTGTTCTCCCCAGTTCATGTGTCGAAGTGTCCTTGAGCAAGACAGTGAACCACAAGTTGCTCCTGGGGGGTCAGGCCAGCGCCTTGCATGACAGCTCCGCTGCAATCTGTGTGTGTGTGTGTGTGTGTGTGTGTGTGAGTGAATAAGTGAATCTGTAAAGTGTTTTGTCCAAGTAAGGTAGAAAAGTACTATATAAGTACAGTCCATTTACCATTTATTGTTGTGACACCTGGTTTACTAAGACAGTAATCAGACTCATGGACAACTATACAGCTGTATGTTCTGCTAAGGTTCAGCATCTCTTCAAGCAATTCACAGAAGAGTTAAAAAAATCTCTTTCCGTTTGCCCGAAATGACAAAAAAGATGAAAAAGGCACAAAGTTTGAGAGATTCTGGATGCAGAGGCATGGACAACTGTACTGTAGTCTACAGGGGAAAATGTAAACCATGGATCAATTAAAACAAATCTCTTCAAGTAACTGACAGAAGAGGTTGTAGTGTGTGTGTGTGTGTGTGTGTGTGTGTGGAGAGAGCTTTGGGACAAGAGGTTGGTGTACACAAACTGTGACACCTGCTCATGCTCAATAGAGGACTTCTGTCTGTCTGTAAGGGGTTTTGGGGATCTTGGCCCTGAGGCTGTCCACCATGGTACTGAGTCAGTACTTTCCTTGAAGTTTGTAATGCATGTAAAAATAGAGAAAATCACTACTTTGTATTTTTATTATAGTTTTGAAATGGTATAGGAAACAGCCTTGACAGTTAGAAGTACAGTAGGCAATTATTAGATGATATGTGTAATGTACCACTCTACTCATTACCCATCTCTTCACTTTCCTCCTCCATATGCAGGTAACGTGCTTGGTGTGTGACCATCGCTCCAACACTGTGGAGCCTTTCTGGGATCTGTCACTGGAGTTCCCCGAGCGGTATCACAGTAACAGCAGGGAGTCGGCCGCACAGGCTTCGTGCCATTTGACTGAAATGCTGGCCAAGTTCACAGAGACTGAAGCTTTAGAGGGAAACATCTACTCCTGTGACCAGTGTAACTGTGAGTTAAGCACACACACCATTTGTAATGAGAGAAAATATATTTTGAAAAGCTTTTTGTGTGGCCTTTCTGCTTAATTCATGGTTTTACAAAGGAGAGATGGTTCATATTGAATAGAGAATAAAGGGGTGAAATGCCAGGTTTCTTTAAGTGTAGCACCTAGGAAGAATGTATGGACAAACAAGTTACTAGTTGCTAATTCAAATTATAATAAGACCCTCTTTTTATTCTTTGTTGGTGTATAGTAGATATCAAAACAAAAAACAAGATAATAAGGCATGCAACTAATGGACCTGACTGGAAACAGCTGTCATAATCTGGATGAAGGCAGTGGAATAGATGTTGTGTAATATTTACGTGTCTTTCTTATGATATATTATTTTATGATTGCAGCTTGTCAGGCCTGCACCCTTCACATGTTGTACAACAGTAAGAGTCTTTGCTGATCTAGGCAGCTTGCATTGCCACTGGTCACTAAAATGCAGAAGAGCACAGACACTCAATGGAGTAAAGTTGTGTTGCATTCTAACTGTCCTCTCTGGTGGGCAGCTGCGAGAAGGCGGACCTCCTCCAAACCAGTCATCCTGACCAAAGCACAGAAGCAGCTGATGGTGCACAAACTGCCTCAGGTCCTCCGGCTTCACCTCAAGCGCTTCAGGTATAATGACATTGCACCAGTCGGTCAGTCTACCTAGATTATTCAATTAAATACAGTTTCTTCTTTTCATTTATACATGGCCATTCTCCACCTGGGTCAACAAATAGACTGTAAACAATCATAAGGTTTGGAGACTCAATCATATGTGAGATGACTCCTACCATTATATTTGTTTTATTCAAAATGTGTGTCCTTAAAACTTCTCCCTCGAGTGACAGTCAGAAAATTAGGAAGTCAAACCGTCTGTTGCCAACAATTAGTGCCAAGTAGCTTTTATCAAGCACAGCATACAGACAGGCCAAATGTTATTATTCAGAGGCTCCCATAAAATCAGTTCAGAAACAATAGATCCTACTTGTTTTTTATGCATTATACTGCCATACAGTTTAGAAGTGCATCAGAGGTGTGATGTATTTTTTTTTATTGTACTACTATGAAAACTCATAACCGTGATTATCATGTTTTAATTAAAGTTGAAAGATTGAAGGTAAACCACAAAGACAAGCTGACTAAATCTTTTTATAACCTAGTTTTTAAAATCAGAAAAACAATAGAGTTAAATGACAAGACCGTAGACTTTTTAAGTCCAAGTTTACAGTGTGTACAAGCATATTGATTTGTACAATAGTCTGTATATACTATTGTAAAAATGTTTTGTGTTTAGTAATAACTTTGTTCCTCTGGCCCAGCTGTGTTCAGTCTATGGAGGACTGTTTTGATGCAGACTAACAGCTCATTGGCTGACTCTCTCTCCGTGTCTTGTGATTGGTCCTCAGGTGGTCTGGCCGGAACCACCGGGAGAAGATTGGCGTCCATGTCAGCTTCGACCAGCTTATCAACATGGAGCCCTACTGTTGCTGGGAGCCATGCTCCAGTCCCAGTAGCCCCAGCTCTCCAGGCTCACCACGTCCAAAGCACTTCCTCTACGAACTCTCTGCTGTGGTGATGCATCATGGGAAGGGCTTCGGCTCTGGCCACTACACTGCCTACTGCTACAACACAGAAGGAGGTGGGTAAAAATGGACAGCAAGAACTAACTGAAGTAAGTTTTGAAGGCCTGTACGTTTGTTCCCACTTAACTACATACAGTTGACTTTAGATGGTTTTATGTTTTAGCCTGTTAAGCAGAAGCCCTTTGACAACAATTTCCAAAAACACATCTTCAGATTCCAGTGGCCACTGGTTTTATCTGTTTAGGGGGTCCACCCTGGACAGGTCGCACCACATTTGCAAGCAGGGACTGTTTTGAAAAGACACTTTATTGATAGAAGCAACCAGATTCCAGTGACATTTGTGTTTGCTCATGGTTTGTCATCTGGACTCCAGAGTGTTTTAGTAGCTGACTCTCAAACTAAAGTGGCACAACAGATTCCCCTTCATTCAGAGTGATTTGTCATTGCTTCTTTGTCCTCCAGCTGTCTTCATATTACATCCGTTCTCTCTGGCTTCTCCCACAGGCTTCTGGGTTCACTGTAATGACTCTAAGCTGAATGTGTGTTCGGCGGAGGAGGTCTGCCGAGCTCAGGCCTACATCCTTTTCTACACACAGCAAGCAACTCAGGACAAAGCTCGGCCACAATAGGACCACAATTCCCCTACTCCTACCCCCGCAGCAGCCTGACCACTCAGCGACAAGATATCGGCACAGCCCCACCTATTGCTTATTCTCTCTGTCTTTGGGCATTTGTATCCTTGGAGGATGTCTTTTTGAACAATTTTTCTAAGAAAAAGAAGAGAGGAAGGACTTCTTTAAAAACTTGGTTCTGCTTTATGAACCTCTTGTATATGGTGTTTATATGTAGGTATTTTTACAAACAAATGGTGGTTTGTGATTTGTGTACAGTTGTATTTTTTTATTATAAAGAAGAAAGTATTAGCCAAGATGTCTTAGTAGCAGCCAACAAACTGTGGCCGGGCATGACTGCAGTGCACTCTGCAGGTGTTTTCACAGGTCTGCCTATGTGGCTTGTTGCTGTTTGTTTGTTTAAATCAGCTGAAATGTTTCTCAGTCACTTTAGATAGTGAACACAGAACTGGATGTAGGGTTGTAAAATGTTGTTCACTCACTAAAAATGGCCACTGTGTTCTAGATTTGGTTGTATTCAACCATTTTCCTGCCAGACATGCACTAATTACTACAGAAAAGGCCGGTAACTTTTGTTTTTACTCAGTGTTGGTTCATAGTTATAGATCTGTACACAAGCAGAGGAGAAAGTTTTTCACTCCTGGGTCTGTTGGGAAAAATGGCAGACCTCAAACCAAAGCCTTGGGGAAACCTCTGAGCATTTCCAAAAGGGTTCATTTTTTTCCTTTTATGACTGATATAGAAAAGAGGTTTCTGATGAGATAATGTTTGGCTAAGTGTTGCCACCTCTCTACCCCCGAATGTAATTGTCTTCAGAGTGTGAATCATCCCTGACGACACAGATAATGAAGTGCCCTTTTGCTGAAAAAGCTCATCTATTTTTACAAGTGTAATCTGCATCGCTGCAGTCCCACGCAGACCAGCATTTAGATTATGAATGTATTTTATACAAGTTTTAGAAAAGAGGCCAGACTTTAAAAACATTTTATACTGTATGTTTAAAACCAGCAGTTTCAATTTCACTGTTCACCAGTAAGTAGGTGTGTTTAAATGCTGTCTTGTATTTGCCGTCTGTTCAGTAAAATACCCAGGTTTGAAGAGGATTTCTGTAGTGTGTACAGGCTTGGGTGTTTATCTCCATACTAGAGATAATTGTACAGTAAAAGAAAATCTCCACCTCAGTAATATTCCCTTGTCTTAACCGTCAGAAGGGAATTGAAAGCACACTTCATGTTGTTCCTTCATTGTCAGATGTGATATGTTGGCATTTTGGTTACTACTCCATGGGTGTGTGAGAGTTTATGGAAGTTATACTATGCAAAGTGTTACCTCATTTTTTTTTCTAGAAAAAAAATTACCTCAATAAATGAGTATTTTTTCATTTTTCTATAAAAGATGCCAATGTCTTGCATTTTCTCCTTATACACAAAGATGGATACTTATATTTGTATAACCCAAAATCATAAATTGTACTGAACAGGGCTCCAATTAGAGAAAGTCCAGTGTGTAAATTAAACAGGGCTAATCTTCATTTTGTGAGGCAGCAGTTAACTGTTTGAATAAACTAGGTTTTCTCAGTAGTTAGATTTATAGTGCATAAATTAACATCTGTTTTAATGTACTGAAACTGAAATGTAAAACCCTTCATTTTGTAGTTGAATAGTGAAGCTAGCCGTTTCCAGGCTAAGCCCAGCAAAGCTAGGCTAAGATATGTTGCTATGGCTGCTAGCTGAAATTTTGTATTAACTGAATATATAAAAAAAAAAAAAAAATCTATAAATCTATACCAAGAAAAATCATGCAGTCTAACTCCAGTGGTGGAATTTAAAGTACGCTTATTTGGCCACATAACTACCATTTCACCTTTACTAGCTATAACATTAAAGAGGTTCTTATACTGCAGTGCATTACTGATTTTAATCCAGTAATTAAAAATTTGAAAAAGGCCAATTCTGCATGAATAACTTCTATACATCCTTATAATACTTAAAAGAAAATTCTGAACACAGGACTTCTACATTTATTAGATGATGTGTTAAGTTGAAGGCTACCAATACTACTAGTGAAGCTACCAGCTTTAGGGATGTTAAAATGTCAGATTAAGACATTTATTTCTGTACGTGATCTAAAACATCAGGACACCCCATAATGAAATTTTTTTAATTTTTTTTTTTTTTTTTTTATAAAACATTTTAAGGGAGTTCAAAATGAAGCATTTACCTGGGACCATACAGTGGCAGGAGCCATTTTCTAAGATATTTTGTTAAATACCAAAGAAACGAAGACTGGAGGCAGAGCTCCTTCTGGTAGCGACAGAAGCCAGACATACAGGTGCAGATGCACAGTGTCTGTATGAAGATGGTGTTTATTACTACAACACCAGAGCTTTAAATGTTAGGAATAGTCTGCTGAGACTTCTGGCCATGCATTGGCCTGAACGCTTCTTAAAAGGCCATCAATAGCTTGTGTGCTTGATTTAACGCAGCACTAACGTACTGGAGGCTCAGAGCGGAGCCACAGAAAATGAAAATGAAAGGGGCAGGGAGGATAGAGGGGTTTCCCATGCTCACCAACTGTTTGAATACTGGAGGTGCACTAAATTCAGCTGCATCTTAATTAAACACATTTAACTGTTTAACAGTTACCGCTTTATGTTTTGTGAAATGAAGTTCACAGGACACTGAAGGAAATGACAATGCTTCCTCCAACAGAAACATGTTGACTTGTTTACAGTTTCTTTAGCTGTGGTTGATGATAGAAAACAAAGCCAGTCAGCCCTCCTGCAAGCCGTGAGTTTTGCATTTTAGGGAGATTACAGTAGCATATGTCATCCTTTACTGCTGCACTGAGACAACCACTTCCTGTCCTGGAAGCTCTTTTTTGCTGTTTTTCTGAAGGAGGAGTTGCTGTGTGGTGGTGAGGGGGGTCTGGTGGTGGTGGTCTTGAAGGGTGGGGACGTCAGTAGTCGTCTCCCCGGCTCACCACCTCCTTGCAGGTGGGCCTGAGCAGTATGGTGTGTTCGAACTGAGCCGTGTAGCAGCCTTTGGTGTCGCAGAGGGGAGGGTAGGGGTCCACGATGCCCAGGTCACACAGGTTTTTCAGGGCCATCAGGTACTTGCTCTCGCCCAGGCGGTCCAGCCAACGCCGGCAGAACGCCAGCGTGCCAAAGTTCTCATTGATCACATTCAGCAGGTGCTTTGCTCTGGGCAGCCTAGAGAAGAGGAAGAGCCAGTGATTTCAGAGCATCTCCCAGTCCTCCCAGTTTAAATATTCATAGTGCTCAGGTACACTGCAACTAGGACAATATGGCCAAACAAAATCTGACAAGCCGCCAGGTAGCTGCTAGACTGAACAACACACTGCTCAACATGTAGTGCACAGAAAATGACAACATGCTAGTAAATCAACACAGTTCACACACACAGATTCAAGAAGCTGGAACTGTGACATCTACTATTCACAATGAAGACCTGGCTTTGCAGCACAGAGTTCAAGATATGTCAGTAAGGTCTGCAAAGGTAATGGATATTCATCTTCAGGGGTTGTATCAGACTGAACAAAGCATAGATAAACAATCTAGGTAAAATACCAGGTGTGTGTTTTGTGTGTGCACAGCTGCATTATGAAGTCAGATAAGCTCCTACCTGATGGGCACGTGGCCAACGTCAAAGTTTTTCATGTAATGAGAGCACTCCATGTCATCATGGACCACACCTTTGCCTGTGCTGCCGAAGGTCTCGATGGCATAAACTTCTCCCTCCTGCACGGTGAAAAGACACAACAGGTTGAGTGCAAAATCAAGAGTTTCTTTGGCCTGTAAATTTTTTTTATTGTCTGACAGCTACAGGGTTCTTACATGTACAAGAAACCCAGACATAATATTCCAAATACTAACTTTAAATGCAACCTGTGACCTTATCGTGAAATGATTATTTTGTCTTATGTGCTTGTGCCATATAAACACACTAAGAAAGCTGAACCTTTTTTGCCCCATAGTTATAAATAACTGCAATAGATGAACAGTTCACAACAGTCTTAATGCACTCGCCTCCATTTTCGTTGCTTCTCCTCCTTTAACAATGGGCACAGTCTTTCCAGCATGTATTCTGTACTGACCGATTGAATGACCGTTCAAGTTTCGGATCGGCTTCACTGAGGAGGAACATACAAATTTGACAGACAGAACATTTTATAAAAAGGTCAATTTTCAAATGGAGAATTGTGATGAGGAACATTGTGATTTTCATTAAACTTTATCAACATTTTCAATAGCTTATACTTGTGGAAAATGAGGTTTCTGACACTTCAAAAAGGTAGATAACCTGTATATCTATAGAAAACTTTCGGCATGATATATTGTCTATAATAAGAATTACAGCCTTCTACAAAAATGCATGTGTCACAGCTGCATGTAGCGTGTTCAGGTGACAATGTACCTTGGTAAGTTTTGCCATCTAGCTCCACCTCATAGGACTCCATCACCTCTTGAATGGCCTCTCCGACATCACACAGACGCACATCAATACCTGCATTCTGCAACAAACATCAGCAACAGGCTCAGCACAGAGCAAATGAGGGAGCTGGGTTACATCTGTGTGTGTCCCAGTCCTACCTTTATTCCAGTATTGGTGGCGTCCCTCACAGCCTCCAGCAGCTTGTCATACTTTGGGCTAAATGTGACAGTGAAGGCACAGTCAATGATTCGCCCTGCAAGCAGACACACAAACAGAGAGTAGTGTCCCTCAGTGTGGTTCAGTTTTCTGAGGCTGTGTTGAAACTACTTTGCCTCTGGTGAAGTCACCAGCTGTAGCAAAGCGGATAGAAAAACTGGCTCGATTTAGCCTCATTTTAAGAGTCGTATGACCATGAAACGGGCATTAAACTGTATTCTGTGGTAGTGAACGCAATTAACCATTTTGGAAATTGGGTTGTTCTAGATGCGTCTCTTGTTAATAAATGTCAGACACTGACTAACTTGCATACAGTAGGAAAATCAGCCACAAATGTCTTGGAACTTAACTGAGTTGTGTTTTCAACACCACCATAGAGTCTGTGTTTAATTTCATTAAGTTTATATTACTCTTAGATGACGCTGCACTTGGATCTTTGATGATATTCATGGTTCCGAGTTTTGGATCATCTACCTGTGGGAAGCTCCATAGGGCTGCTAACTGGACTACTTATCAAAGACAAATTAAAATCCACTGTTGTCAACGCAAGGCCAAAAACCATACACAAAGGTTTGAAACATCATGCGCTCAAAACTATCAGCAGTGTTCTAAATCATGAATGATTTGTAGTCAAGATAAAATTCATAAAAACTCTGGTAGAGCCCAATAAGAGATGAGAAGTTTTGTACATTAACTGGAACCTGGAACACATCACTTTTCAACATCGGCACAAAATTCTCCTAGTACCGTTGATGTGCGTGCCAAAGTCAATCTTGCAGACATCATCATACTGCAGGACGGTCGTGTCTCCAGCATTCGGAGTGTAGTGGGCAGCACAATGGTTCAGGGAGCAGCCGGTGGGGAAGGCCAGGCCGGCGTTCAGCCCGTTCTCCTTTATGAGCTTACGAGAGCAGTCCTCCAACCGCTCGCTGGGGACAGGCAGGAATGAGAGAGAAAGATAATGAGAAGAATCAAGTGGAAATAAAACCACTTAGCCTAGCCCAGGGATTTTTCCAAGCCTGACACTGTGGGCTCCCCACAACAGTTTTGTACACTGGCATCATTAAAAGTATGCTGAATTAGCAGTTCCTGTTTGAAATCTACTTATGAATGTATGGACAACAATCACTTGGTAACTGTGAAACTACAGAGAAGTTTAAACCCGACAGACTGAATGAATAAATGTTTTTTTTAAATACTTTAATTGCCACGGCTGCTGCCGCTCCAGTAGCTGACAATGTTGGTAAGAGTCGTCTAAATTACAACAGCTAACTTAACACCAGCGTGCACCCATGTCTCCCACCTCACAGAGTGAAGAGGGTGGTCTATACACATATGTAGATAACAGTACTGATGAAGTGGCAGCGACTAATCTGAGTCATAAAAGGCATCCTTACCAGATTTCGATCATGGTCAGTCCGGGTTTGAGGAAGCTGCGGACATGTTGGCGGACCTGTCTGTGGGCCTCAGCTGCCTGCCTGAAGTCATTCCACACCTCCTCATTGGCTTTGTCCAGCACCCGCTTCTCCTCGTTGGTCATACGACATGATGCACCGCGACTGGGAGAACAACAACAGCGGCATGAGTTTTTGCTACAGGACTCATAGTTGGAATGCTGCTTTGTTTGTGGCACAGCCATTAGAGCTAAACAAGGTTGACGACTGTGGACAGTCAGCAGTGAAACTAAATATGTTAATGCCATCGCCACTAACGAGTTTTACAGTGCAACAACACTCCTGACTCAGCATCCAGGTTGATGACATCATCTGCACAGAAGCAGGTGGTTTACAGCTGTAGATATAAATCTTCATAATGAATGGAAGTGTCTGAACACGACTTGCTCCAATTCAAATCTAGACAAAGTGTGAGAAATCCATTCACACAATGCCTGCAATTAGAAAGCGGACTTATAGGCAGTTTTAATGCTAATATAAACACTTGCAGAATGAGAATACAGATTAACTTTTCCCTCAAAC